GTCATTCGACCGATACTCATGAAAACGCCCTATGAACTATACAAAGGGAGAAAGCCAAACCTTTCCCATCTTCGAGTCTTTGGTTGCAAATGTTTTATTCACAACAATGGCAAAGACAATTTAGGCAAATTTGATGCCAAGTCGGATGAAGGAATTTTTCTGGGTTACTCATTACGTAGCAAGGCCTATAGAGTCTTCAATAAACGCACCTTGACTATTGAGGAGTCTCCTCACGTTGTATTTTTCGAAGATAACCCTCGCTTGGCGAGAAAGGATATTTGTGATGATCTTGCAGAATCATTAGAGAGAATACACGTTGATGACGATGAGGAGAACACGGGTATCTACACCAACCCGCAACCACAATCTGAGGAAACACCTCAAGTGATGGTTGAAAATGAGGACCAAGCGGACGGAGAAGATCAAGAGGAAGCCCAGGAACAAGAGGAAACCGAGCTTCCCATCGCTTGGAGAACACACAGGAACCATCCACTTGACCAGGTAATCGGCAGCATCAACCGCGGGGTAAGTACTCGTAACTCTCTTAGGGACACCGTAGGACACATGGCCTTTGTATCTCAAATTGAACCCACAACCATTTCCGAAGCAATAAACGATGAACATTGGACTTTGGCTATGCAAGAGGAGCTAAACCAATTCAAACGGAATGACGTTTGGGAATTAGTGCCAAGGCCCGATGATTGTACGATTATTGGTACGAAATGGGTGTTCCGTAACAAACTTGATGAAAATGGAATAATCACTAGAAACAAAGCTAGGCTCGTAGCTAAAGGCTACACTCAAGAAGAAGGCATTGATTTCGAAGAAACTTATGCACCTGTAGCACGTTTAGAAGCTATTCGTTTACTTCTTGCTTTTGCTTCGTCTATGGATTTTAAACTTTATCAAATGGATGTTAAGAGTGCCTTCCTCAATGGTTTTATTCAAGAGGAAGTGTATGTTGACCAGCCCCCGGGGTTTAAGGACTTTGAGTTTCCCGATCACGTCTTCAAACTCAAGAAAGCGCTCTACGGTCTTAAACAAGCACCACGTGCTTGGTACGAACGTTTGAGTAAATTTCTTTTGGATAGTGGTTTCCAAAGGGGAAAGGTTGACACTACACTTTTTATCAAGAGTAAAAACAATAACATCCTTTTGGTTCAAGTTTATGTAGACGACAT